TTGGAAGGAAAGGCAGGACTCCCCCAGGAGATCCCAGCGCTTCTAAATCAGCCGCATTACTGTTTCTATTGATTAATGTTATAGTTCTGGCTAGAAGTAATTCTTTCTTTTTTTTTCTGTATCATTGTGTTATTCTTAAGAGACTTCGTTCCAGAATAAAGTTATTTTTCTATTTCTATTTATATAATATTTATTAATATCTTGTTCTATTCATTTGAATATGTTATACGTTGTAGGGTCAAAAAAAATAATTTTCTATATGCTTATGAAGTTTAAAAAAATCATTGATATTTTGGTACATCCAACAAATTATCTAATTGTATATTTATTGCCTATCTCATCCCCCGATACCGCTTTTTTTTTTTTCTTTTTCTTTGAGGTAAATTTCGATTTAAATTATAATAAAATTATAAGCTATAAGATAACCATTTAATGGACAGTAGATAAGAAGTAACTTACCATAAAGGGCCAGTAACTTACCATGCGGAGCTGTTACTACCGTATAACGAGGACTATCATGTGAATCTTGCTCCTGTTGTGTAACGACGGTGATTGCCCGTGTGGTTGACCACCAACACTATGTAGTGTAGCTCCCATTAATATCCAAGTCTTCCCAGCCCCTTCCCATCAACATCAACATCAACAATAGCCAATTCAGCACTATTGCACTTTGGATTACTTGTATTTATTATGAACCATAATATGAAAGGAACAACATTTACTTAATAGTGAATGTAGAAATAATTTTAGAATAGATTATTTGTTTATTGATAAATATTACAATCTGTCTCAATAAAGGACATTTATAATACAGTTCTGAGAGCACATTCACACCATATTTACAAATAAAAAAAAATAAAAAAATAAAAAAAATAAGCTAACTTCAAATAATATAAAGCTATAAAAGAACAAAATAAAATATCATAGTGATGAAGAAAATAGAAATAATAGTAATAACAGAATAAAAATCAATGAATAAAATAGAATTAATATTATCTTTAAAAAAAAAAAAATGAAAATAATCATCTTAGATGTAGGCACACCTATTTACACTATTTACAGTCGGCCATGGGAACTCTGAACCATACTTATCCCCCCACATATGGAGGGAAAGCGTAGTAATAATTATAAGAAAAAAACTTCAAATAATCTCTACTTCAGGACGTAGTTGTCTGATGTTTCGAAGTTTCCATTTAAAGTGAATTAATCATGCTGTTCGATAATTTTAAAAGTGATTAATTTGTTATCAACTAAAAATAAAATATAATAGAAGTTGGTTGGGCATCACAGTCATTAGAAGTACGTAAAAATAAATTTGTAAATTTTGTTTAAAATTACTGCAATTCCCAACCGACTTCTCTTGTAAGGAATGTACATGTTTGTGGGCAGACAGAACCTTAGAGTAATCAAGTAAGTGTAAAAACTCTTTATACCATGTTTCAAGGTATAAGACGTCGGACTTCTAGAGACCTTTAGAGGAAAAGATCTTAAGGAAGGAACAGGAGGAGAGACTTGAAAGAAATCCTTAAGACTTAAGAAAAACTAAGGGTAGAAAAACGACTGAGGATGCAGGCATTCCAGTCCTGCAAAGCTTAGGCCTCGCTACTAATTTTTTTTTTTAGTATGTTCATACATACGAATTATTATTTATTATTCTTAGGTTTTAGTTCAATATATTACTATAAAATTTGTTAATACATCTTAGTTTCTATTATATATATTTAATTAATAGATGGTCCATTTTGCAGTCTAGAATAACACCAAGAATATAAATAATTAAATGAAAGCCGACGTTTCAGCCATAATAAATTCTGAAATATTTTTCTTCATAACTATATCTTTATGGTTTAAGGTTTAAATACTATAGTATTATATGAAACAGTTAGAGGGAAAAAAGAAAATCTAAAAAATTATAACTGTACCTCGTATAATGCACGAATAGGAGACACTGTTAGAGACGTTTTGCCGACTTAACTATTGGAAAGCAAAGGGTCAACTCAGGAGTTCAACGTGGGATTTAGCGAGAAGTGTGAGAGAATTTCTGGGGAAGATTCAAAGTGCTGCGAAATCGCTCTCCCCAATCGTCTATAACTAGTATGGATCAGCAACTCTATTCAAGTGTTAGTGTGTGTTGTAACGATATGGAATGTTCACGAACCTTTAGTAAAAAATAGGTACTAGGTAAAATATCAAATAGGTAATTGGTGGTGAAAAATCAGTTTAAAATACCTTTTTGTGCTATTGGGCGTTAATTTATATATAAATTTTATTTCGTCCATTATGCCTCAAATTCAGTTGCTTTATTAATAGGCTAAAATTAAATTTAAAAAAAATCTCATAGGCGATTGTATTTTTTTTTTATAATTCCCAAAATGAGGCGGTTGCTCCACCAATTTGGCATCCCCGGCCATGTGATATGGAAATATATCGCAATTTTGTTATACATGGCATTTCCAAGTCGCATTAAACTTTTTCCGACTCAAATTCAAGTTTTTACAAGAAAAAATAAACCTTTTTCAAACCAAATTCAACCTTTTTTATATAAAATTCAGCTTTAGATATATTTCAGCTTTTCGGATATTTTTGATAATAACTCTATTATCTATTATTATGCAAAATAACGAAACAACGAAAACTGAATTTGTTTTGGAAAAGATTTAGTTTGTCTTGAAAATAGTTCAATTTGACTTGAAAAAATAGAATTTGACTCTAACTGAAAAAAAAAATTAAGTTGTTTGCTTTAGACAACTCAATAGAAGTGAAAACATAACCAAGGCGAGATTAATTATATGAATTTTTTTTTATTTATTCATGATATTTACAACTGTATTAAAAAAAAAAACAACTAGTAAATGTAAACTCAGGAATATAATAATATGAAACCCACTTGGAGCGCTCAAATAATAAATTTACACAAGATCACGAGGGAACCTTTTATATGAAATATAAATTATAAATAATAGCTCATTGCAAAGAGGATGAAATGATGAACATTTTCTTCGCCAACAAGGTAGAGGTTAAATTTTTAGAGTCTGAGAAATTTTAATTCATATGCAAAAACACTTTAATTAGTTGACTCCAGCTGACTTTATCCGAGCGTTAAACACCCGATATCTGACAACTCAATCTAATTCACTCAACTTCAGGACAATAGATTAATGAAAGAGTTCGTAAAATTTCTTTCAATAACAAGTAGTAATTATGTGGCATATAACATTTAGCCTCGGTAAAATTCCTTTTAACCGTTACCGCCTCCAAAATCCTCCTCTATCTGGAAAATCTTGGTTACATGAAATAGGTAAGATAATGAAAACAAATTACGGACAAAACTTAAATCTTAACTTGATTCTTTGGGGAAAAAAATCTAAGGTGTGTGCTTTAGACCAAACGATGTAAGTGAAATCATCAACAGGGTGAGATTAATAATATGAAATATAAATTATAAATAATAGTTTATTATAAAGAGGATGAAATGATGAACATTTTCCTCGCTTACAGTATGCAGGTCCGATTTTTAGTTTCTGAGATATTTTAATTCTTATCATCCATAAAACTCGTTATCATTTGGTTTTCGACAATATTTTTTCTCTTTTCACCTCTCTAACTCGGCGTCGCATTAACATACAATTTTGAATAATAGCTAATAGAGAATAATAGAACAAATAGGATGAAATGAAGAACATTTCGCTCACTAACAATATGCAAGCCCAATTTTTAGTTTTTGAACTATTTTAATCCATATGTAAAAACACTTCAATTAGTCGACCCGAGCACTTCATAAATCAACACTTCATAAATCTGACGGCTCAATTTAATTCACTCTCCACAAAAGTGCAAAGCGCACCTAAAGAAGTTTTCACTCCAAAAAGAAAAGACTTCTGTTACCATATTTCTTTTGCTAGTTGAATTTTGGATAAGTTTAAACTTAGCTATGATAAAAGAACAGTCTGATCTATATTTAGAATTTAATTTTAGCGCTATAGGATCGGAGACAGAGGGATAGCAGACGGAGGTTTATTCGATATAGAGGATCTTCCTCCCTGAGCAAGCAGAAGAAGGGTATCCTTCCAGACGGACAGTCACCTCCAGAAGGTCCTATCAGGTGTGAATAGCCCCGGGGTTATTTATCGATCCTCCTCGGAGATATTCGAGTTTTTGAAGGCTCCCGGCCCCTTCAATAACAGCTGAGACAGGCGAGGTATGTAATAAGAAGGCCGTGGCAGCGCTGCCGCCAAAGGAAGCATCCGACCAATTTGCGGCTCGGCACTGCCGTTCCTCTTTAGCGACAAAACCAATGACACATCGCCTCCCGCAATGCCGCGGGCGGCTGTGCTATCATTATCTTAATAGCGGGGGGGGAGGAGGGGTCCGAAGGGATTAAGACCTGCTCCTGTCATAGCGGAGGCTACTATTTCTCGAGAGCCCAGTGTGGTCAGCGTATGCTTCGTGGTCTGGCTCAAACATCTTGTTCATCCAGCGATGGTTCAGAGGCAAAATAATAAACTAATCTAACTATAAATCAAAATATAATGCTGCTATATATTAACAAATCAAATTATTAGGTGTCCCATCAAATCATTCGTAACTAGTGTTGCTCAAATGCGAGACTGAGACGCGAGTCTTGGTCTTGCAAACTCAGTGTTGGTCTTGCGCAAGAGTCTCGCAACAGTCTTGCAGTTACTTATTAGGTTATTACTATAGAGATATTACTGTATTTTTTTAGATAGGAGAAACCTAACTAAGCCCGAATGGAAAATTAGAGGAGTTAAATGCAAAAGTATATTGTTTACAGCAATTATTTAATTATAGTAAGTAAGTAGTCGAGCATTAATAACTATTTTGCCTTAATTTTTATTCATAAAACCGATTTTTTTTTTACCAGTCCTGGTCTTGGTCTTGCAACGGTTAGACGGCCTTGGTCTTTCACAGTGCAAGACCAAGACCGATTTTGGGCAACACTATTCGTAACCCTCTGACGTTCTGTTCTACAGTATCCTTTAATAATACTCCGTTTATCCCTGTTAAAAAGACCCAATACCTACGAATTTCTCAGACAAACGTCTTACTTAAAATCTTCACAATTACTACTAGACATTTCCGGCTAGTTCAACACTTACCTATGGATTTATGGAGTTGAGCAGTGTGTCTCCACTAAATTCTTCTCGCATAAAATCTTAACAATCCAAAATCCTTCCTTTAAAGCTCCTTTTATAAACATACACAACATTAAAAATATGTCTTTTTCTTCTTCTTTGCTTGGCTCAACTGGTGTATATAACAACCCTTGTTTTTTTGTTTTTTTTTCAATTTCTGCCTTCCACTTTTCTCTATCGATTTCGTGGACTTTGTTCACTTTTAACTGCCGTATATCTTACATTACACTAGCTATCCAGCGAATCTTGAGTCTACCTCTTGAGACCACTGAAAGATACAAATATGAGACGAAAAATTCTAGTTTTATTTTTCTGCATACGACCTATCAGTTCTAAAAGCAGCTTCACAAGATAGCGCCCAAAACCATTAGAAATAAAGAAATATTTATATATATATTAACAGATATTCGTCCGCATAACGCAAATTTTTCCTTTCGTAAAGAATCGTCAGTAGCCAAATGAAGAATTTTCGTCATTTCTATATTACATAAAATAATTGATTCTTGTTCTTTCAATTATAAATAAATTAATTTTCTAATTTTAACCAAACACATTGCACAGCGGTGAAAAAATTTCAGGACGAATATGTGTGAAGTATAAAAACAAAAAGGGATATTTTGCTGGAATAATATTTTAAATAATCTTTTCGACATAGTACTATATTATATTTTTTGTCCACTGTTGGGTCTTACTCTATGCATTCCGGGTAAGTGCAACCTCATTCGAGGATCCTCCTATAAGAGGCAATATAAATTAAGTGGAGTGGGTGTGTTATGGCTTGCTTTCATTGATTCTGCCATTATTATTTTTTTTTAATATATTTTTTTTTTTTACACTTTTGTTATGATATTTACAACTGTATTAGTATGAATACATCTAGTAAATTTGTACAGAGAAATATTATTACATGAAACACGCTTGTTGAGAAACTACCCACTGGTAGCACTCTAATAATTTGTCTACATGAGAAGGTCCCGAGGCCACCTTCTTTTCAGACGCCTCGGATGATTATCAGGAACAGAAGAGGAAGCAAGTTCGAAAACAAGAGGGTTCGGATGGTTCAGAAGTTTATTAGAAATAGAAAATAACTTTATTCTGGGACAAAGTCCCTTTAGAATAACAAAATAGAACATAATTAAAATACTACACCTGCCCAAAATAAAACAGTAATAAAAAAGAAAAAGTAAAGAAAATATTATTTAAACAAGCTATATACAAAAAAAAAAAAATCTATATACAAAACACTTAAAACTATGATAAAACACTTAAGACTATGTACAGTAGGAAAAATTCTAATTATACTCTTTTGAAAAATATAATAATAATAAATACATTGAGTTCTTCTTTAAAATGAGGTTTGTTTCTGATAACAAAGAAAAGACAAAGCTGACAATATAAAATATCAGTGTCTTTAAATAATGATTAATATGTAGACTCATCATTGTCAAATGCTAGAGGTACAGATTTAATTATATACCAATAAAAAATAATAATAAAAATAAAAAAACAAACAATAGATGCGGTCAGTGGCATTAAGAGCCGGAAAATATTGTAATATCCCTAGTGAAGTTCACAGTATAGAATAGCACTATCGTTTGATGATGACTAGAAATGTATAATATCGAAAGTTTAGCAAGTATCTGACTGTTTTTGGGATAGGAATTGGAATTATGGAATTATTATGTAAGGATAGGTATTTGGATTGAGCTAAATCGGAAACATATGGTACATCAAGGTAGTTATGGATGATTTTATTTGTGACAAAGTAGACAGCATTGAGGATTTTGGATTGTAAGGATTGGATAAGAGAGGAATCTGATGGTTTAGTAGAGCCTCAAAGCTCGATCCAACGTCCAAATGGGCCTTATTATAGTTATATACATGAATCTTCCGTAAATAGTTGGAAAATGAGAGCGTTTGTCAAGTAAGTGCTGCAGTAGTCCAAAACGTCAGGCTGTTTCTAGTCGTTTCAATCAGGCATGAGGTTATTTTTTCGTAGTATCAAATTTCGGTAGTTTACAGGCATTTCAAATTGATTTATCCAGTCTATAAAAGAAAAAAATTCTGGCTGAAAAAAAAAATATTCCAAATTAAATTAAATTCTTTTTAGATCAAATATTTGTAACACAGCATGTCGTTCTTCATGGAGCGAAACTAGAAGCGGTAGATTGCCGAACTTGCAGTTTTCTTGGAAGGCACCGTAGTCAGCTCTGTGCTCCAATCACTTAATTAATTCTCTTTCTTGGGCCAGGTATACAGGTTAGTGTTGATTGGGCGCAAGGAGCGTAGGTGAAACAGCTGTGTCAATCCTGACAAAGCACATCGATTTTCTGTTCTCAGAATTTTCTCTTGATATTTGTTATAATTTAAAGCATATATTTCATTAAACATATATATATTGATGTTATAACACCGTTTGTTCCTTAAGAATACTGCTAATGTACACCATAGAAACAACTTCAGTTCAAAAGAATGATAAATTTTATTTGAAATATTTGCACAAAAAATACGTCTCAAATTTGGTGTGTCATTCCTCGTCACATTTTAAATGGTTTCTGAGATTTTTTAAAAAGGAATGAATCGGGATGTTGAAATAATATCGATATTTTATTCGTGATATCCTTCAATATCGTATCGAAACAAAGGATTCGATATTATCGCAGAGAAAAAAAAACTAATATTGGATTTAGATATTTTTTTTTCGTTAACATTTTATTTAAAAAAAAAAAATTTAATAAACATAAAATGAGCATATTAACAAATAGCAATATTTTGTAAACCATTGAAATACTAATCGTTAAATATCTCCATATATTGAAAAATGGAGTCACAATACAATCAAAGAAAATGTTTGAGAAAAGTTGTTTCGAATTTTCGACCAAAGAAGCAACAATGTAAAAATAAATAAATTATATTTATTTTTAATGAAGAGAATGATAGTTGGGGTGATCAGTCAAAAATAAAAATGGCAAAAATAAATAATAATATTTATTTTAACATTTGCCGACGTTTCGACCCTAAGTTCAGGCCTTCATCAGGGCTGAGAAAAGAACCAGATAACAATTGGCATGAGAAACATAAACAATACAGGTAAAAAAAAAAATACTTTAAGTAAAATGAGGTAGATAAGTGAACATTAAAGTAAAATAAAGTATGTAGAATAATGACAATAACAAGAACTAAGAGATAAATAATAATAACGGTTACAAAGTGTGGACTAAAAACATAAGTACTAAAATGTACTTAATAGTAGTATCCTCTTCATTATTCACTACAGTCATCAAACCATCAACCCACAGTTTTATATCTATTTTTATTCCTTTGTGGCTATTTTTAGTTTATTCTTATTTTTTTTTTCATTCTTTGACTAAAAACTCCAATCAACTTCAGTTCAATATATCAACTGCAGTGAAATACCAATCCGCTATCATCAACTTTTTTTCATTGAACCGACGACATATTCCGTAAGTACCACGACAATTTTATTTTGATATCGACATTATTCGATATTGGCCAAATTTATGATTATAAAAATATCGATATCAAAGACCTATATCGATTTCAATGAGGAATATCGGAAATTACCCCAGGAATATTGCAAAAACCCTAGGTATGCATATAGAAAGGAGGATAGTGAATTTCGGTGCAAGACAATTCTGTGTAACTTTTCTTTGATAAATTTATTATGAAAATACTTACTCGTATATTTCATTTAAAAAACATATCTACGTTATTTGTCTTTTCCCAATATAATAAATACTCAGGAAATAATAGTGTGTAAAAGTCGAGGACCGTTTAAACATCTCACTATATCTACAATGACAGCAAAGTCAGACGAACTAAGAAAAACTAATCGAGACTATATCTTGGAATACTACCAAAACTCAAAGGCAGTAGATTGCAGTTTATTTTCAAGTACGCAGAAGGAAATGACTTTGGGGCAATAGAGCTTAGGCCAGACTTGATATGGCATGGGACCATTAGTTCTGACTCCATCTCGTCCCGGGCAGTTTTCCCGACTGTTAGGGAAAATCGAACCGCAGTTGAGCCCAACATCAAGAGACCGACGCCTGGCATTGTTCCATTATCTCTAGTGGTTACTTTTATCCGTTCCCTGTTTCCTCCCTAACGGCCAGACAAAAGGGATCGCTTCGGATACGCCGCAACAAAGAGAGGACTAAAATAACTCTGCGATCTGACTTCGTTGTTGCGATTAGCCGGATCAGGCGACCTGTATTTACATTTAAATCATTCAACAAAATTATATACTTATATTTATACATGATAACCTTAATGGATTTAGGAAATTAACTTCATTGTTTCAAACATTGTTACACAATAGGTTATAATTATGTTTTATATCTACTTACTGTGGATGAGATATTGATTATAAGCATGTTGGTCCTTTTTTCATAAAAATAGTGCAATCACAATACATTAGGTTTATTGAAAATGCTGATAATATGGCAATTACTGCTAGTTAATTGCTGACATTTATATTCTCACGTACCTGATTGAGCCTGGGACTTACCACAAGCTGGATTTCTCCACCATTAAATAGTGAACCATCACATCACATTCAATTGAAATCGCTTCATTACACCTGCGTGTCCTAGATCCCTCGAGTCTCCTTTCCGAGGAAATGCTAATTAAGATAAGAGCTCTCCCACCCCTCTTCCCCTCTTCCCCCAAGAGGGCGAAAGTGATGAGCCTTTCTCCATTCGCCGTCAACAGAGGTCTTTCACGGCCCCTATTACACCGATAGTTATCGAACGGCAATCAGTCCATCGATTACTGGGATTACGCCGTTTCCCTCTTGGGCGAAAGAAAGCGAGAAAAGTCCCCTTTATATCTTTGTATTGCCATCCAATCGAGAAAAGTGTGGTTTGATAAAGTTGCCAACAGGATACGGCGGATCTCAAATGTTAATTACTAATTTAGAGTTCTATGAAACCTTGGAGTCCATTACCTATCTGATAAATATGCGACATTGTGCATTTTAATCATAAGTTATTGTTTCTCTTACCCTAATTAGAGTAAGGCCATAGAACTGCATTGGCTACGCAATCAACTGTACCATTACAAATTATTGTCGTAATTGTTATTGCTTTACATTCTGCTGAGAGCACCGGGTCTGTTGACCTTCTCGGCCCGCATTGTGGTAGCACCGAGCACCTCTACTATCTGCTTTATTAGCCAACGCACCCTCGGTTGCAAAATGGCACAGATATTATATATCAGTGGTGCAACCCGGGGTGGCAAATGGCCTGACACTTTCACCTCCATTCTGCCCAGTGGCGAATAGATGCGGTTATGCAACAATAAACATTAATATCTCAGATTATATCTGCCGGACCGGTAGGTGTAGTGAACGCTTTCGTAACCATATATCAGCGCGTATAAACTATTCGGAAATATAGAACGTTATAGAAGTGGCGTAGATAGAGATAGGCTCTTAGAAAATGTGAATCAGAACGGAGGAGAGTCCCGGAGGAGCAGGAAGTAGAGGGCCTAGAGACCTCGAAATCAGACCGCAGTGTCATGAAGGCAGTGGTTTGCAAAACCATTAATGGCTGCCCACTGTGTCCTTCTTATGCGAGTTTTTGTCTTCGGTTGAGGCGTTCCACAAGGAGCAGCGGATGAAGAAATATCTTCTGGTCGGTGTATTACTGTCATTATGTTTACTCAATAATTTTAAATTGCCTTCAATTTTCCGCACTGTTTCACCCTATACCGTTCCCACATCAGAAAGTATTTTGTGCCTTTCATTGCCTTGGTATTTTATCGCCATCTCGAAATTAATCTACTACAGGAAAAGAGTACGACCACACATTTTAGAACCGTTTTACGAAACCGTGCTTCGAAATTTTGTCTTCTTCAATTGAAATAGTAGCCCATTACAGTATGGCTTGCAGTGATTTATTTATCGTACAGTGGGTATATTGCCCATCCTCAAAAACATACTACATGAATTAATATAATCTAAGAAAACAAATAATCAAAAAAATAATGTTGAAAGAACCAAACAAAAAATGTATTTAATTTTGATACATTAAAAAAAAATCAAATACCATAATCAAGTTTAAGAAAAAAGTTTTGATTTTTGTCCCGAAATGTTCTAGAATGAGCTTTTCTAAAATCATCATCGTACAATCATTTCTCCGATTATTTAATGCCAAAATATTATTTTAGGGAAAATAAATTAGTAATATAAAAGGAGGAGTCTGTTAAACCAATGTGTTTGCAACAAAACTACAGCAAACTTAGTCACTTTGTTTTTAAATCTAGATGGTATTATTTTTCATGTCAAGCTGACCCTAAGACAAGATTCGAAAGTTCAGAAGAAAAAAATACAACACAATTTATGAAACAAAAAAGATGAATAATCGACAAGTTGTCAACAAAAATTATTAGAAATAATATAGCCATGCACACAAACATTTAAATAAAAATGACTCGTTCATGATTGATTTTACCTTATTAACGTTATTGATTTAATTCGTCAAGTTACTGGATATATTCAAAATGTTTGAATCTGTGTGTTTTGTTGTTTCTAAATCAGTTTTTTTAACTTGAAAAGAGTGATGATTCTGTACTGGTTAACTTGATTTTTTTTTTCGTTAAATCACTGTTTACAAAATATTTTTAAAAATTTCTCTAACTAGACACTTGTTATTTTAAGTGTCTGGTTCTATATACTAATCATTTAAAATCTGTTGATATTTTTTTCGATTTTTTCGGTATCAAATATCACGGAGAACGGAACCGATATTGATTGATGATGGCCGTGTAACCTTTCCGTTCCAGGTTGCCGAACAAAATCTGATAATTTTGTACCAAGTTGGACCAAGCCTACAATTATTAGTTTAATCTGTCCTGTGTGCGCTGGGCCAAGCAACAGGTTTCGTCGGTGAAAACGTTCTCCATCAGATAATGCCCCACTTTGTCAAAATCGTTTCCATCATCCTTATAGTCGGATTACTTAATACTTTGGAATTCCAAATTATAAATAAAACTTCTATATTATTATTATTCAAAGTCTTTTTTATATTAACTAAGTCCGAACTAAAAATTTTTTTTTTTTTAATTTCTTTATTGAGTTTTATAACAATCTGTCTGTTGGACATTGGTTATAGTGAGGTAGGATGACATTCACACCATATGTACAAAAAATAAAATAAATAGAACAAAATAATAATCAAAAGTATATACAATAGACAATAAAATAAAATAACCTAAAAAATAAGAAAATTAAAACTAAGGAAAAAAAAAAAAAAACACATGCATACCTAAGAACTAAAAATTAGAGGAATTAAATGCAATTTTTTTTTTCCTACCCCCAGTCGTAATCAGATGTGTAGTCATTAAGTTAACAAAAAATTTTGAAAACTGGTGTAAAATGGCTAAAAATAAATAAACTTGAAAATTAAAAATATCGATTTTTTTTTTTTACAAGACCGATTTTGGGCAACACTGAACATTGTAATCGACCAAGGAAAAACATTTAATTCCTTTTCACATAATACATAAGATCTACTTATTTCCATATTGTTTTGATATTCCTTCACTAAACAAAATTGTCTGCAAATTATTCGCGCGGGCCAACTAATGTTAACATATTTACATTTTCTCGACGTTCGATACTTCCGATCAGAGATGTTCAAAATAATCACAAATAAATAGGAAATGAAGAATTACTATGTTATCGGACCCTTTCAAAATAATAAAATTCCTTGATCGGACCCTTGAGGCGAACTGGAGTACGCTCGGGCAACAAACAGGCTGAAATGTTAACGATCCAATCAACTCGGACGGAAGAAAAAAAATCAGATTGTTCTTCGTTTTATGACCTTTTGAGTTGTATAAAATAAGAAATAAAACAATTAAAGATTAAAAAAAGTGTCGCTCATAGGCTGTTTATTATCCATTTGGTTTCGTTGTCGTTTTATCACAGGTTGGAGAGGGTTCATGTATATGGAACAGCCAGCTTGAAGATTTCTTTTGTAAGGACCTGTGTCCTTTCTCATCGTGAGAATGTGCCGGAGTGTCCTGCCTCACGGAACTGTCGCTGGTTTTCGAATTTGGTGGAAATTCCCTCCTCGTTTTGTAAAGTAAATTAAATAACATATAAATATGTTACCTGTTATTAAATATTTAAACCATAACTTGGGCCTACCACTTTTACCAATTTCTTTCTTAGTTACTAAATCTGTACTCGGAAGGTAAAGAACACCATGTCACATTTTTTTTATTTGTCCAATCCTTCATAGCTTTGAGCAATTAAAATTTGTTTCGCGGTTAATAAATTATTTAATTATAAAATGGCAACGGTGTACTTTACTTCCAGGGCACATATATTGCCATATATATACTCTACATATGGTATATTGCCTAAAATATGAGGCTTAACAGCAAAAACGATATAATATAGAAATACCTTTAAATATCGTTCAAAAATATACGGCAACTACACTATAACGCGTTTTATTTTCGGTAGATATCGTATATAAAAAAATAAACACAAATTGCCGCAATATAAAAAAAATACATATCTTGTAGTCGTTGGTACAGACCCTTTTTTTAATTATTAACATCCACCTGAACTTTCGTAAATAGTTTCATCTCATCGTAACCTGTAACTATTTAATTTACTAAAACTCTTGGAATTGGTGCGTTTTCAATCTGGAGGGGGGGTAAACTTTGTTTATTTAATTAGATACTAAAGACCCGTTAATACTCCTTTGCTTTCTACTTGAATCTTAAGATAATTTGATCAGAAAATCGAGAAAAAATATTATTAACCTACACCTCGTTATTTTGAAAATTTGGAAGTGTAGGTTTTTGAAGGCCACCTTTTCTCGATTTTGTGATCAAATTATCTTACGAATCAAGTGTAAAGCAAGTGGGTATTAACGAGTTTTTACGATCTAATTAAATAGAAAAAGTTTGTCGACCTGCTGATTGAAAACGTCCCAATTCCGAAAATTTTTGTAAATAACTTATTTATTTATACGATGAATAATACGTTATAATACACTGATAGAATAATATCATGATTTGCTTAACAATTCTGACCTGATTCTCATGTGCAAGGCTAAGCATAATGCAGTGTGTTGTGCCACATTTTTTTAAGACTAAATGATAGTGATGGAATGAAAAATAAAATTGGTTTAATGGGTTATAAAAGTTATTCGGTATTCAAAAAGTATTTTAAACATATAATGGAGCTCCAATTGGACTGGTATGATTGGAATCGTGATGGGTATAATACTCGTTTATGAATTCAGTCTAGTATGCAAGGAAGACAACTGAAATATTGAGTTGTTTTCATTTAAAATATTGTTGAGATTTTTATTAGATGACCATGTATATTGATAATGAGAAAAGGGATGATTCTCGATGGCGGTAAAAAAATAAATAAATAAGCTTTGTGCTTTTGTCCACACGATAAGAGTGAAAACATCAACATAGAGAGATTAATAATATGAAATATAAACTATAAATAATATTTCATTATGAAGAGGATGAAATGTTGAATATTTCCCTCGCTTACGATATGCAGGTTCGATTTTTAGTTTCTGAGATATTTTTAATACATATCTTCAATACCACTTGTTATAATTTGCATGAGACCATAACCTGAATTTTAGCGTTGGTAAAGCAAGATGAAATGTAATATGAGCCTGTATATAGTTGACAGAATGACTAACTCTAATTTCAAAATTTTTATTAATTTTAGTGATATTTCTAGAAGGAAAATTTATAACTTTATTCACAGTTCTATATTTCAACATTGCAATCACCTAATCTGGAATCGACTGTCTACTCAGATATTATAAATTTTCCAAGTGGAAATATCTCTAAAATGATTTTACTCAAAAATGTTCAAATTGGAGTTAGTCATTCTGTCAACTGAAATACTCATTTAATACACCTAATCAACTTTGGTGGGTGAGGAAACAACTGACTTTCTTGGCGTCTGTTTTTAGTACCAAATTTTGAAAACTTAAGTTCCTTAACTGTAGGTATTGAGGTTCTTGAGTAATTAAGAACAGTTCTATCGATCTATTCATATTTATCAGTCGACGATCTACGTATGATAAAGGGGAACGGAGAATACTTATAGCGAAAAGATATTTAATAGCTGAACATCCCGATGAAATCGTATTCTAGAAAAAACCCTTCAACGAAGATGAAGCTCTATTGATTTCAGTCGTACTATTCAACGAACCACTAGACCCCCGAGGGCATATTCAGGAGCTTTATTAATTACAGTAGTCATTGCC